ATATATATATATATATATATATATATATATATATATATATATATATATATATATATATATATAATTAAACACTTTCCATGAAGTGCAGATGTTAAAAGTTCCTTATTACAAAACAAGCAGCCGAAGAGCAACTTTGAAGTGACACGCTGAGCCTTCCTGTTATCTGCTCAAAGTCTCACTCTCATTTCCTTGCAGCTTATATGAGCAGCTGGCAGGTCTTGGCAATTATTTGTCTAAAAACCTTACAGCTGCGTGCCTTCTAAGATGATTCAACATCTCACAGACACTGAAAATGGATGTCTGCGTTTTTCTTCAGTAACATCCACACCAATTCAGAAATTCTTAGTATGACTTTGGGGTTCTCCAGAAAAAAAAGCAAAATTAGGTTGTTAGCTTTAACCAGTTGATTTCTATGCATATCTAGTTTAAGAGGACCTGTGCCTTAAATTAAATAGAAAGATTTGATTTTGAGGGATCAATAGAGTTATCAGAACCAAATATTTTCCAGCAGATCAAAGAAGTAATGAGATTGATGCTTTGAGGTTTTAATTAGGTAGTTTATTAAAGTGGTTTGGAGACTATTTTTAGGGTTTGGCTCAGAGTAGCGGTGCCATGTGGGTCTGACTCAGAATAAAACAGTGTCTGAGTCTGTTATGGTGAAAACAAAAGTCATCCACTGCAGGACTATAAGCGCCTGATGTGCTTTTTATAGCTTAGGGACACAAGAAGAGCTCAGTGACGCAAAAGAAATGTCCAGAGTCTGGATATATATCATTTTTCTTTTTTTTATTTGACATTTGGGTTAATGCACTTTTCCATAAAAGTCTTAAGATATGGAGTTTAAAAATTTTATGAACAAGAACATACCTTTATTTTTGAGTCCTCGGTTGCTATGGTACCATCAGTAACTAGAGACGATGTCATTGCTTCCTCTAAAAAGTTATGGAGCTTCTGTGAGTCGTGGTCCGAGTCCGATCCAGAGGTTTCTATGACGATGTAGAAAGGGCAATCTGCAGAAAAAGAAAAAAAAATGTCTTTGCGACGTCTTCTTAAAGAGTTAATACCTCTTTAACTTTTTCAGAAGCCACATGAAATCCTGCTCGACATGAATACAGGGGACACAGCAAAAATGTGGAATAGACTTCTCTAGCCTACTTAAAAAAGGAAAATGTTAAAAAATTGAAAACCTGACATTATGACTTCTCGTTTTCAATTCTATATTAATATTTTTTATTACTTGTTGTTTAGTTTAGTTTGTATTAGTTATAGTTTTAAACTTTTATGCAGTATTACTAAAGTAATACTAAAGAACTATATAATAGAAATAAATTCCCATTTTGTGTAGTGCAGCAACACAAAATGAACTGACTGCCATCTCTGCCATCAGCATATGTTACAGTGGAGAAAAAGTAAAAGCAGCAAATAAGACCTCAAAATAAACACAAACCAAGACACATCTTCTCTTAAAATTCAGTTTCAATTAGCTTTCTAAACTCTTACCACAGTTTTAAGTTTTTTTTTTTTCTCTAGTTGTTCTTTTTTTAGTTTTACTTAACAATGATAACCTCTATATAAACCTGGGGTCTGTTTCACGGAGCAAGTTTAACAAATTCAGATTCAAATTCTCAACTCTAAATTGATCTAGCCTAAAGTCGGGAAATGAGTTTTCGGTTTCACAACGGCTGTTATCAATTAGTTCAATCAACTCCAAGTAGATCCACTCAGGGTTGAGCTTGTGTGTAACAAGATTTAACAATTTGACAAGTCACCAGGACTAAA